TATTTTCTTATCTATACTTCTTTCATTTAAACAGTTCAATAAATAAACAACACGTGAGATTAGCCAGGATTGAAAAAACATGTTTTTTTATAAAAAAAAACGGAACCCTTATTGTCTGTCCGTCTGTCTGTTCAAGACCCTTTATCTCGGGAATACGTAGGGGTATTGAGTTGAAATTAAAACCATAGTATACTCAGATCTCAGATCTATAGTCCTTTGAAGCAGTGAAAAAATCAGATTTCTAAGCTAACCTAAAAAAGAAGATAAGTTTTTGCCGTAAAAACGCATATTTCGACATCGTGAAAATCAAAATGCGTTTCTATATGGTATAGTCTGTGAAATGAATAACTTAGAATTTGACAGTTCCCGCGGGTTTTTTAGTGTTTATTTTAATAGGTTAGCAACTTGCGGCCATGCTGACGCAATGCTGTCTCTAATAGAACAGCCTCTGACCGAGATTTATGACGTCACGCTAGTTAGATACTACGGATTAATAAATATGTTGTAGAATACATGGAAAACATAATTATTCCTCGTATTTTTGGTTTGTATTTGAAAAACAAACATTGATTTTAAAATACAAACCAAAAATACGAGGAATAGTTATGTTTTCCATGTATTCTAACACATATTTATTAATCCATAGCCATCTAAAGGGCCATAGTGACAAAACAGAAATCCCTTTTCGAGCTTTCTACTAGAGACGGCATTGATCTGATATTATAAATGTCAAAAAGCGATGACATTTTACTTTTGACAATTATGACATTTCGTGTTGATTTTTGGTAGAAGAGGAAGAACTACCACTTGTTTTATTATTTTCCTTTTCTATTTCACGAAAGTAAAAAGAGTTACCTATCTGATTCGTTCAGGCACTCAATTTAAAGAATATCAGTAACTTTTTTGATAGAGGGATCAGGGGGGTGACAGTGAAATAGGAAAATTGGAAACAGTCATTAGTGTCATTCCTGTCATTCTCCTCACGACAAGTATGGCCGCCTAGACAAGGACAGCATTGTTTTTGTCTAACTATTGTCTAACTTCACAGTTTAGAATTGACAGATTTCAGTTTCGGAGACAACTTCAGATTTGTTCTAGAACAAATTGAAAAATAGGTAGTAAATAAACAGTTTTTACATTTTTTAGATGCAAGAAAATGCTGTTATAATCTCTTTGATCGGCGATTTTTTTGAAAATGGAAACAATTTACAGCAAGGTAAGATCATTTTTAACTATAGCCAACATTAGTTATCTCCAGTATGTGCGATTTATTGTCAATAATGCAATAAATCGGACTGATCATCTGATTATGTTATCCGACTAAAAGTCTCTTTTTGCTTCTTTTTGATTTATAAGCCAGGTCTCTTTGGGAATAATGGACGCTTTTTTAAACAGTATATTTATATTTTATACCTAATATATCAATATTAAATAAATTTAATATTGATGCGTTTTCTACATGTTAATTTTAGTATAAAAAATTGTTTTTTCTGTTTTCAGGTTTTGGTATACCCAGGTTTTTGTATAAGGCTCCGTTTTCATGTCCCTGTGTCCGATTTCTGTCCTTGAAGTCTGCGAATACGTGGGTTTATTTACAAATTACTGTAAGTCATGCTTATACCTAACTAATTTACGTTAAAAGTACATATAATTAACTAATTGGTATTGAAACAATACAATCCTCTATATTTTTATATTTATTCAGTCACGTTGTTCCATGTTTCAAATAAATATATGTGAATAAATTATTTTTTGGTTTTATTTATGAAAAGATGAAAAATACAAAAATACATTTGAACTGAAAGAGGGCCCGCCATTGAATAACCGGAAACGGAAATGAAAATTAAGCCATCATGTCCTTATCATGTCAACCTGTCAATTGGAAAATTAGTTCTCCAGACGACAACGAAGGCTTTCGGTGGCGTATCGTGTTTCCACGATTTAACACAGAGTTGACACTTCTTTCTAGTTAATTATTTTATGAGAGGGATTTTATATTTGCCGTGTTGGTAAGAAATAACGGTCAAAATTCAAAGTTATTCATTTTATAGACTATAATATAATTTGGTTTTCATTCTCTTATAGATTGTTATTGCTAGAATTTTAATTAACGTCATATTTATTGCAGTTTTAAAATTTTAAAGAAGCACAAAAGTTATATAGTTCAACGCTATGGAAAGGGTTGTAATAGTTATCGGGAAATGTGGTATTTTAGCAATCGCAGAAAAATATGGCGTTAATGAAAGTTAATAACGATCTATCAAAGAATGAATTCGAAATTATATTACCGCATAGAAACGCTTTTAGGACTTTTTAGAAAAAGTTTAAAAGTATTTTTATGATTTTATTAAGTTTCGGTATGTAAATTTGGAAAACTATAAACGGGATTAACTATTTTAGAAGAAGCAAAATTTTCTATTGAGAATGTATTTTTTTTCAAAATGTCAATAATCCGGGGACATACTGTATGTAAATTTCTATTATTTATTTTTCTTTTGTTTGGGTGTACGTAATGAGTGAACAATAAACGTACGTACTATTTATTTATTTATAACATATGATCGAAAAAAAAAACGGCGTTAGCGATGGCTATGAAATGAAGATCGCTGTTATTTTATATTTAAAATTATATGGGGAATGTTATCGATCCTCATTTCCAAGCCAACTGGACGCCTTTTTTTTTCAATCATACGGTATATGACAGAATACAGACAAGACTGAATAAATTGTTACTTTTTAATCCAGTAAAATTGTATCGCCGTATAGAGAGTGAAAAAAGATTACGGACAAGCTGATTTTTTCAGAGTTTGTCAGACTGTCTTCTGAGTGTAAAATTAACAAAATTGGAAATTTTTCCCTTGCGGTTTTTGAGCAATAGGGGTATTTTTTTTAAAACTGAACTACAACAAAATAATTAGACGCAAATTGTACAGGGTGGGTCAAATTCGACGCTTTTAAATGGAAACACTCTTTTCTATAGGAGATAGACGAAAACTAATATCGGTGTCTGGAGCTCAATTTTCATCAAAAACATGATGGTGAAAACCGCACATCAATATATTTTACCGTTTCGGAGTTACGGGGTGTTTTTCAAAAATTTGCATTTTTAACAAATCGCTGTAACTTTTTTGCTATGGAAAATTTTGTAGTTTTGTGAAAACATTTCCAAAGCACCTTTTTACGTAGAATTTAATGGTTTAAGTATAATTTTTTTTAAATTAATAATTTAAGAGTTATCAACAGAAAAATTGATTTTTTATTTGGGACACCCTCTATATTTTTAATTAACTGTAAAGAATTTAAAATTACCTTTCCAAAAATATAGCACACTTGATATTTTGTTATAATCCCCTTCGAAATACAGAATTTTTAAAAGTTCGCCACTTTTAACTAGTAGGCTTTGGACCCCTTATTGATGATATGCCCTTAATGGAACTCGAAAACATATTTTTCCAGCAAGACGACTCTGAACGCTGAAATTATCAGCAAATTTTTGCAGCCAATTTCAAGAATAATTGAATAATTAACCAAGATCCCAAACTTTCGCCGTCGAGGCCGCCTGACTTAGTGCCCATGGATCTAATCGTATGGATATATTTGCGGAAGAATAAAGGTTTCTTATTCCGTATAATCTAGACAAGAATTAGAAATACTTAGCAGTTATGAGACGGTATCTTTCACCCCCACTGAGTTAATGAATTCCGCGAGAAATGTTCAAAAACTGCCCCGTCTGTCCATAACAGAAGACGGTCGATATGTCGAACACCTGTAGCAAAATTTCATGTCTTGGTTTACTATTTATTTTTATTGTTATTAGATATAGTTTAAATGTGTTGATGTTGGTTAAATATATTTTAAATTGTTATAAAATTCTGTATCTCTCATAACAAATATTATTTTCGTTTTAATTGATGCTCACAGCTTGAATATTTTGCATTATAGCCGGTGCCGTTCAAAGCCTACGCATTTAAAGCGGGCAAATTTTTATATACTCTATATCTCGAAGAGGAATCGAGCAAAATATCAAGTGTGTTATATTTTTGGAAAGGCAATTTTAAATTCTTTTCAATAAACTAAAAATATACATGGTGTCCCATATAAAAAATCAAATTTTCTGTTGATAATTCTTGAATTATTAATTTTAAAAAAATTATACATAAACCATTAAATTCTACGTAAAAAGGTACTTTGGAAATGTTTTCATAAAAATACAAAATTTTCCATAGCAAAAAAGTTACAGCGATTTATTAAAAATGCATATTTTTGAAAAACACCCCATAACTCCGAAACGGTAACAGATATCGATATGCGGTTTTCACTATTATGTTTTTGACAAAAATTGAGCTCCAGACACCGATATTAGTTTTTGTCTATCTCCTATAGAAAAGGGTGATTCCATTTAAAAGCGTCGAATTTGACTCACCCTGTACATAAGAACATTCTCTATAAGTTCGCGTAATGATTTTTTTTATAAGTTTATTATTTCCGGACTTAGCGGCCGTTTCATGAGCCCTTTGGGGTGGTTTTCAAAAAGTTTGTGTTACAGCAAATTGACTCGTATGAAAGTCGTTCATAATAAAAGCAACTTTTCCTCATGATTTTTTTGCAGCTTGATTATTTTTGGAGATAAAATAAAAAAAATCATTAGGCGAACTTATAGAGAATGTTTTTATGTACAATTTGCGTCTAATTATTTTGTCGTAGTACAGTTTTAAAAAACCCACCCTTATTGCTCAAAAACCGCAAGGGGAAAATTTCTGATTTTGTTTATTTTACACTCAGAAGACAGTCGCTGACAAACTCTGAAAAAATCAGCTTGCCCATAATTTTTTTTTCAAATGACAATTTTATAGGATTCTTTGTCTTTTATTTCTATTTGTGTTGAAGGTCTTTTTTTATTAAATATTTGTAAAAAAAAGTTTTCTCTCTTTTTATTGAAAATTACCTTTGATATCCTATTCTAAACAATTCAATAAAACAACGACACATAATATCAGCCCTTTTTTATTATACATAAATAAAATTTACATCGAAACAAAAATAATTTTGTGCTTATTTGAAACTATACTTCAAAAAAATACACACAAAACACAAGGCACCATTTCATATTATTCATAAAGAAAAAAAAAGTACAAAAAGAAGACTTACAGTCTCTTAATACTGTCTATAAATTTAGCTAACATTAGCTATTAGCTGCCACACTGGTTCTGGTTTTATTCTGAATAGGTAAAAATAACTTAAATTCAGCTGGAAGCTCGTCCTCCGAATACAATCTGTCTGAGAAGTAAACCCTACGTATTCTGCAGTTTGCGTGGACCTGTACCCTTAAGGTTTCTACGTAGTTTGTACCGTAGGCTCTCCTTGTGAAGTCAGCTACGTTAAATTGTATTTGATTCCAGCCTTCGTCAAGCCGCATGGGCATAGTGCAGATAAAAGGCTTTACTCTGGTGGTTGATTGGTAATTACTAGCCCTAAACCTTCGTCTAACATTCTTGTCGTCTAATATCTACAAGATTTTGATTCAGAAAGCTTTATTTTAAGAGTTTTTAGACAAGAAAAAGTTACCTGAACCTCGAACGTGAAGTACTTCTTCAGATTTTTTACTATCATCACCAAATAAGGCAATTTTATACCCAGAGTCTTACGTGGATCTGCCGGACAAGTGATATAAGTCGTACTAACATTACAACCGACTATTTCCAAGACTAGAGACTGGATATCTTCGTCGGTGATTCGTTTGATGTGACCATTTTTCACCTTTTTGTCCCAAATTTGAAGCGGTTTGCTGCCGATGCTGTACAGAATGGAGAGGAATCCGCTCTGGAACGTGTTTTTGAACATTTCACTTAAATTACGTCTGTAATTTACGAAAATTTTAATAAAAAATACATAAAATTCGGGGATATGGTGCGAAATAGAGGTTAAAATAAATAAATTTTGACAATAGGACAGGTGGCTCGCTCTCGAAGTTCAATAAATTTTGAGGGAACTAAATAGATAAGTTTGAAAGAAGAATTCTGTAATTTTTAGAGTGTGAAAGAAGGATTCTGTAATTTTTAGAGCATTTAAGAAGAATTCTGTAATTTTTAGAACAATAAAGAAGAAATCTGTAATTTTTCGGTCATGAAAGAAGAATTCTGTAATTTTTTAGGGTCAAGTTTTCGGTATTAATCACAGATGGCAGAGAGGGATTTAGAACTTTGAATATTTGATGCTAGAGGGCGCTACAATACATATTAAAAATTCAAAATTGATTTTTTTCGTAGATTTTTAATATATTTTACAAGTTTCTGCTATAATTATGAACTAAAACACAGTTTTTTGTGTATGATTTTCTTTATTTTTATATTTCCATCAATCGACTAGAGTATAATTGAAACAACAATATATTTTTTTTTGTTTTTAAACATTTACACGATTATAATATCATGTTCCTTAAATCTAGTGATATGTATCTTGATATGTTTGGATTTTTTCAGTACATACTTATATTTTAGATATACAGGGTGCTTCTGAATAAGTGTCCGGTGTTTGATAAGGTAATTTTTCAAGTATTCTAAGTAACAAGTTCATATACAGGGTTGTTCACCACATACGCCACGGAGTATTGTAGCTAAACGATTAGATTTTTACAAATTGTAAGTTTTGGGTTCGTTGAAGGACTATTAGAGCTACAATTTAAAAATATTTTTACAAGATACAGAGTGTCCCAAATAAATAAAAAATATCAAAGTTGTATTTTTTTAAATGGAACACCCTGTATATTATTGCATTTTTAGTTTCTACGATTAAAATAAAAGGTAAATTTGATTAAGGTTTATTACACTTAAACCTTACCGTTTTGAAATATTTTCAATTTTACGAAATTGCAGTATACATTTTAAGGCTTCATTTCTCCGAGGATATCAAAGTTTTAAATACTAAATATTTACTGAAGTTTATTTATTGATCAGTTATTGTGTTGCAATAATAAAAATTATACTACCTTATACAGAGTGTCTAAAAATTTATTTTAAATAATTACTAGCTGTAAACGGCAATAACTTATTTACTTTAAATAGAAATATTGTATATTTTATATACCCCTGTATATTTTATGAGAATCAGATGCACAATTTAATTGTCTATCAAATTGTATTATACCACTTCTTACCTATTCTTTCAAGTTTTCATAGAAAATGCATTTTCTTATAATTTAGACCTCATTTATCAATATACCCATGGAATATTGACATTTTAGATTGTTTTTATAACAACAAATGTACAAAATGTACAGACTAGTAATTTTATCGTTTTTACTAAAGTTCGTTATTACTAGCCCTTATGCAAAAAGAAAACTATTTAAATCTTTATTAAAGAGTATACCATTAATTAAATATACCACAGTATTTCCTATTTAAATGATTAACTACATACTTAATTGTGTGTGTATTCTAAATAAATGTGGATTTGAATCAGAAATCAATATAATAATAAGTTAGGAAAATGAACGTCTCTGTTGTTATAAATAAGCATTTGTCAAAAAATTAAATATAATTTTTAAAGTGTTACTTTTTACCACACTGTCTAATACACATACATAATTCAGTTTTTTAGTATTTGGAGCAATTATTATTAATCAACGCAAACAGTCAATTAATGTAGTTTGAATACTGAAATCATATTAATTGGTCCTCTTTAACAAATATTTAAACAGTTTTTTTTATATTTTAATGAAATAAACGAACTATATCGACAATATTAGTATCTGTACTCTTTAAAAATTTGGTACATCTTTAAAAATAATCTAAAATGTCAGTATTCCATGGGTATATTGATAAATGAGTTCTAAATTACAAGAAAATGCATTTTCTACAAAAACTTGAAGAGATAGGTAAAAATGGTATAATACAATTTGATAGACAATTAAATTGTGCATCTGATTCGCATAAAATATACAGGGTGTTCCCTTTAAATTAAACAAGTTATTGCCGTTTAAAGCTAGTAATTATTTAAAATAAATTTTTAGACACTCTGTATAAGGTAGTAAAGTTTTTATTATTGCAATACAATAACTGATCAATAAATAAATTTCAGTAAATATTTAGTATTAAAAACTTTGATACCCTCGGAGAAATGAAGCCTTAAAATTTATACTGCAATTTCACAAAATTGAAAATATTTCAAAAACGGTAAGGTTTAAGTGTAATAAACCTTAATCAAATTTACCTTTATTTTAATCGTAGAAACTAAAAATGTAATAATATACAGGGTGTTCCATTTAAAAAATACAACTTTGATATTTTTTATTTATTTGGGACACTCTGTATCTTGTAAAAATATTTTTAAATTGTAGCTCTAATAGTCCTTCAACGAACCCAAAACTTACAATTTGTAAAAATCTAGCCGTTTAGCTCCAATACTCCGTGTCGTATGTGGTGAACAACCCTGTATAAGTAAGCATTTTAAAATATATGTTTATATGAATTTTTACCTTAAAAATAGTTGAGAAATCATTGGTCAATTTATTCACAAACACTCTCTGTATTTTAGGCAAGCATTTAAAGTATAAATATATCTTCTAGACACTTAGATAAATAATACATCAATAATTATTATAGGCCTTTTTTACCTTTAAAAATTCCATAAGATCAAAAAAGAAAAACAGCGTCACAATGGCTTTTGAAATATCAAGGTCATAAAAATTGCCTTTTTTTATTACTTAATACTGAACTAAAAGCAAAGACTTAAAAGTTTGTTGAAAACTTTAGTGCATACTTTTTAAAATTTATTCTAATTCTATCACAGAAAGGAAATACATATAGTTGCATAATTATAGGTATTCATACTGTGCATAAGTTTGAAAGTGTGAAAGTTCACATCAGACATATACAGGGTGAGTCTTAAGTAAGTGTGCATATTTTATAAAAGAAACGTATTTTTTCTTTGCTGTTTTTAGAATAGGCTTTGAAAAAGCCAGTATCTGAGCTTATGTAAGACTCACCCTGTGTATATTTTAATTAATTTCTTGATTACGAATCATTTTGTAAAAAATAACGACAATATAGAGTATTTTTCAGTAATATCATGATTTTAAAATTAGTTTTTGTTGAAACATATTTTTTTAAAACCTATAAAAAAATATAAAAAAATTTAAGCTGTGTCAGCAAAGACAGATAACTAAAAATAGTCTTATAATAAATATTTTCACTTATTAAGAATAAATACATTTTTTTTCAAACGTCACAAAAGTATTAATTTTTGCGACATGATTTACAATAATAAAACAATTTTTTTACTATTATGAAGAATATAAAAGTTTATATACGAATAATATTTTGCGTAAAATGATCACAAATTCTATAATATATACAGTAATACCTATATTGTTTTAAATAAAATATATATCTAATAAACAACAACAAAATATTAATAATAAATGTAAAATTAATATTTTACAAGCTTTTTTAATATTGCTAATACACGAAAATGTAATACTACATATTTACAACAATCAATAACTACATACCCTTAATTCTCGTTAAAATAATATACAGGATGTTATCTAAATAAGGTAGAATATTTCATTTAAGGTACAATTTTTTTTAAAACATGTTTTAAATTCCTGGAAATGTTTATCTTATTTAAAAAATCACCCTGTATAGGACAAAAATGGTATCGAGGCAGCCATTTTAGAATATGTCGTTGTACCTATACCTATGTAGAAAAAAAGCAGAGTTTTTAACTTTGAAAAAATTAATATGAAAATAAGAACAAAAAAACAAAATTATATACCGGGTGGTTCAAGTACACTTCTTCCATTTTAATAAATTAAAACTCTGTTAACTAATAGAATGTATTTCTTAAAACATAGCTGCCATTACCAACCTTAATATCTTTATTTTACTTTTTCTTTGTGCTATAGTCTTTGATAAATATCTTCAAAAACGCCTAAATATAGTGAATTAAAGTGTAATATTCTTAGAATTAAATTGATATGTATTTTTTGTTACAATTTAATCACATATTTGACAATATAACTTGATATGTATATATATTTTTTTACAGAATTAGTTCAAACTGTTCCAAATAGGAATGTGCGGAAACATCGAATTTTGGAAAATATCGATATATTTTAAAAATTAATGTCGATACCGTACCCCATCCCTAATAATGTTTATTTTTATTTTCAATTATATATTTGAACTAGTTCTGTTTTAAGTCAATTCCTATCTTACCAACATCTATACACATAGAATTGACTAAAGTCGTATATGTATTGTAATTATCTAATAATTTATGTGTTATATATCTTTTATAATAAATATTAATATCTCTTTATTGTTTATACAGCTATAAGATGATATGTTTTGTTTCAATATTTGGACAACTCTATACTATTTTGTTCAAACAGCAATTAACAATATATATTATACAAATAATTTTATGTTGAAATATAATATTGATATATTTTACTATATTAGATAAAAATTTAAATAATATATTATATGTATAGCCAAAAAGAATACAAAAAGATTATTTTTTGGGGATTTAGCTTTCAAAAATTCATATTTTTTGTTCATTTTATCAAATATATGCTCTATTTTTTAGTATTTTATATATTTATTTTTATTTTTGTCTTCTTTTTGGCCATACAAAACAATTTAGTTTATAACTATTTGTAAAATTTCTACAAAATAATAACAAAATCACAGATAAATTTCAAAAATAAGCGTTTTTTAATGTTAAAATAATTAAATTATTCATAACAATTAATTTAGTTTAAACTTAACAACAAAATCCTTTTAGAGTTAGGGTAAACTACATTGATATCTGGCGTTTTTAATATACAGGGTGGTCGAGTTTTTTCTAGCATGACATTAACAGTTGACTGAAAAATTTGAGAGATTAACTTTTTTGAAGTAAGATTCTCTCTCATTTGTTAAATTTCTGCTACGAAAACCTGAAACACTCTGTATATATCGATGATTATAACAAATATCATCTTAAAGATAATCTAATAATCAAGTTTAAAGCTTAAAAAGTACGTGTAGAAATATTTTTAATAGTAAATATATATGTTTTGTGCTTTCTAACATTTTAGTGATATGTATAAATATATAAGGTTTCAAGATTTTCTATGAATCATATCCCATCACTCAAAACAAATTGGGTAAAATCCACCATAAAAAGCATATGAAATCTCCCCAACCTAGTTCTAGTAATAGTTATACAGGGTGTTTCAAAACAAATGCGAAAAACTTCAGGGGGTGATTCCTTGTTAAAAATAAAGGGTAGTTTGCTTTATAAACGTTGAGTCAAAAGTCAATCATTAGGGAGATATCGCGGTACAAAGATGGCGGAAAAACAATGTTTTTATTTTTTATCTTGAAAACGAAAAGAGATAGACTAATGAAATTTTATGGAAGCATTACTGTTATGAAAACACACTTTCTGGTAATTTTTTCACTTTTTTAAAATGAGTGGAAGGGGTTGAAATAAACTACCCCTATCATTCTTGTTAACGAAATTTAAAGAAAAATATTATCAAACACATGCAAGAAAATTAATTTGGATAGTTTAGTTTATTTAGAAACTTTTTTATCTCTTGTGTTTTTTTGATAAAAGTCACCGATTTGAAATTAAAAAATAGAATGTAAAGCATTACATGTCAGGGCAGAAAACATTTTTAGATAAAGAAAAAAGGCTTCGGAATAATTAATTGATCGTAAGATAATAACGTATTGCAGTAGAGTAATGTCAAATAAAATAATATTAGAAACATCCTAAAAAATGACAACCTAACCTAACCTAACCTACTAGATTCTTTATCTAAAAATGTTTTTTGTCCTGACATGGTAATGCTTTACATTTTATTTTTAATTTCAAATCGGTGACTTTTATCAAAAACACAAGAGATAAAAAGTTTCTAAATAAACTAAACTATCCAAATTAATTTTCTTGCATGTGTTTGATAATATTTTTCTTTAAATTTCGTTAACAAGAATGATAGGGGAGTTTATTTCAACCCCTTTCACTCATTTTGCAAAAAATCAAAAAATTACCAGAAAGTGTGTTTTCATAACAGTAATGCTTCCATAAAATTTCATTAGTCTATCGCTTTTCGTTTTCAAGATAAAAATAAATCTCTAATGGTTGACTTTTGACCCAACGTTTATAAAGCAAACTACCCTTTATTTTTAACAAGGAATCACCCCCTGAAGTTTTTCGCATTTGTTTTGAAACACCCTGTATAAACTATATTTTGCTCAAATATATTATAAGAATATATTGTAGTACCGCATTTACACAACGAGCGGAAAGCGAAGCCAAAGAAAAGAAACAGGAATATCAATCTTACAGAAGTCTATCCTTTTCGCTCAACAGTATTTTCGTGCGCACGCTCCAAATAAAACGTCTGATTCGTCTACTTCATCGCTGAACTCTAAATATTAATAAAGTATAATTTATTATTTTTTATTGGTAATGGCATTATTTCAACCAGTTATTTTAGATATTCATTATATCTATCCGTTTCTTGTTTTTGTTTAAATATGTCAGAGATTAAATTTAAATTTATAAGTAAAGGCGCGAATAGTCAGACGCTAAATTGATTTACGTGGTAGAGAGAAACTTAGAAAACTACTTCTATTGGTTACTATGAAATAAATCAACTAACTGAGAAGCACTTCTTACGCCTGCGTAGTTCAAAGCTGTTGAACGAAAAGGAACGACTTATATGGATTTTGAATAGCTCCATCTCAAAAATTTAGCTTCAATTTCTATTCTTGACTAGCGATATAGTGTAATATATATAATATATATGATTTTACTGGTCTAATATTATACCCTAATTTTTTTTGAGTGATGTTTTCTAATACTGTTAATTTTCTTCGATATGTTTTAGTTACCGTTAGGTCTAACAAACAAGGTCTGCATTATATTCAAGCTCTCCTCTAAAGACTGAGCAAATCTACTGGTACTGGTGATCTCCGAAGACCAGAAAGCCGATAAACAGAAGATGATATGGTCGCTTTTTGGGTTGTACGAAGCCCCATACCCATCGGGTTCCACAGGGCCGTAACCCATGAAGGAATTGGTGCTTGTCGATACTTGACTGGTGGATAGTAAAAACTTGTTGGCTATCCTGTGTTAAAAAATGTTATTTCTCTTTATTTAACTCATGGTTTTATGTAAAGTGTTTAAATCTGGAAAGGAATTGTGTCTGGACGTTATTATTAAGAGCATAAGTATGTATGTTAATTACGAGCAATTTGTAAAAATATAGAGAATACTACAGGGTGTCCCCAAAAAAGTTACATATCAAAGTTGTGTTTTTTCCTATGGAACACCCTGTATATCAATTGATTTTCCGATTCTAGGAAAAAAATACAGGCGAGTTTTATTAGAGAAACATATGACTAAAATGTAAGATTTATAACATATTGTTGCGGACCGGTGTGGACTCGACTTAACCTAACAATATGGCCCGCCCTCGGATGACCTTAACATCGCATAGACACCGTAATGATTCATTCGAAGATTCGAGAAGTATCGAGTTCTACTGTAGTATAGACTATTCTAGAGTTCTTTACCTGTCGGTATAAAAGCCGGCGGCTGTGGCCTACAGAGGGCAGCTATAAATATACGAGTGGAGTTGACGCGCTAAAATTCAAAATACATTCTTAGTTATAAATCGTTTGTAAATAGTTCTATAAGTCTTTTATCGTTATTGTTTTTGTTAATTAGTGTTAAATAAATAGTGTTTAAATAAATTGTGACTTTCTATCCACACGGAACCGACGAAAAACGTAACGATATTCAAAATTTTTAAAACTGTAGAACTTTTTTTAAAATTCAATAAAAGGTTACCTAAATCAGAATTTATCCGGTATAGCCTTTAATGTAGTTATAATAACCACTGTACTTTGAATTAAATTAAAAGTTGAGCCGCAAAGTTACACAGGGTGAGACAAAATTAATATTGAAAATTGGTCACTTTTAAAAACTTTTAAAAGAAAATTATTTTTTTATTTTAAATGGAATACCTAGTATATTGGGTATTTCATTTAAAATACCTTTCTCTCTCTTTTAAATTACCTCTATATCTCTAAAAAATGCCACAAAACAAATTAAGTAGCACTATTTTTTACCTGTACGATGGATCAGTGAAGATTTCAGGCAATGGCGATGTTGCAGTTGGTGATGTATCCTTGGCAGCCTCTCTGAGTCCTAGAAGATGTATATCAATGCCCTGTCCTAAAATATTATCCACCATTTCTTTCGTTTGAGCCCTCACAGCCTCATTCCACAAGAAAATCTTCTGATCGTCACTCACCAAGTGGAATGTCACCTAGAAATATAATTTTTGTCATTGATATTAAAATCAGTTCCCGCGGGCTTTTTTAGTGTTTATTTTATTAGATTAGCAACTTGCGGCCATGCTGACGCGATGCCGTCTCTAATAGAACAGCCTCTGAGCGAGATTTATGACGTCACGCTAGTTAGATACTACTGATTAATAAATATGTTGTAGAATACATGGAAAACATAATTATTCCTCGTATTTTTGGTTTGTATTTGAAAAACAAACATTGATTTTAAAATACAAACCAAAAATACGAGGAATAGTTATGTTTTCCATGTATTCTAACACATATTTATTAATCCATAGTATCTAACTAGCGTGACGTCATAAATCTCGCTCCGAGGCTGTTCTATTAGAGACGGCATTGGTCTGATATTTAGAAATGTCAAGAGCTGATGACATTTTACTTTTGACAATTATGACATTTCGTATTGATTTTTGGTAGAAGAGGAAGAACTATCACTTGTTTTATTATTTTCCTTTTCTATTTTACGAAAGTAAAAAGAGTTACCTATCTGATTCGTTCAGGCACTCAATTTAAAGAATATCAGTAACTTTTTTGACAGAGGGATTTTATATTTGCCGTGTCGGTAAGAAATAACGGTTAAAATTCAAAGTTACTCATTTTATAGACTATATAAACTTACTAAATATTTTTGAATCTTATTTGTATTTTATTATTCTTTGACATTGTAAACATTTATAAATGTTTATTTTAAACAATAAGACTGGCAATGTAATTTGTATACTTGTTTTGTATTCTCTTTTGTTTGTTTACTTTACCTTGGTCTACAAATTGTAACAATAATATGATCTGATCTCAGATACACCCTGAAACTTCTATTTGACAAATAATAATGATGACGTAACGTTGAAAAATCGCTGAACAGACGGTACATATATGATTTTACCAACCTTTTTGTTTCCAATATCATAATCGGTATCTTCCTTGGGCTGTGACATAGCTTTAACCCACTCCAAAGCCTCCGGACTCGCAGATCTGATACAGTCAACCCTTCCCAACAAAAACCTTCTTGTACTAGCACTCTCGTAGGTAGCTGTCAGCTTACCGTACAGCTTATAGTAGGCTAACTGCAAAGCCAGCTGGATATACACGTCTGGACTGACTTTGCATGATTTTATGAAGTCTTTCCCGTATCCTGTGAATCGAAACACTTGGAAGTCCAAGTCTTTGATGAGATTGTCCAGGTGTTCTGAGGCCAGTTCGATTCGTTTGGCATCTGTGGCTTCCAGAGTCCATTCTAGCTTTTCCGGTGGTGGCAAATGACCTCCGCAAGCTGTAGGTACTTCTGATGATTCAGGAAAGGATTCCGCATGTTTCCAGAAGCTTTCTACAAGTTGTATTACTGCCACACCTATTAAAATATAAAAAAAATGCTCGTTTGAGACATATAATATATACGATGCAGGGAGAACGGTAGTTTATATCAAAATGAAATTTTGGGTTGATATGTAGGTTAATTGAAAGCATTTTATAAAAATATATAGAGTTATACAGGGTGTCCTCAAAAAAAGTTACATATCAAAGTTGTGTTTTTTGTAACGGAACACCCTATATATTAATTGATTTTTGGATTCTAGGATAAAAATAAAGGTGAGCTTTATCAAAGAAGCATATGCCTAAACTGTAAGAATTTTGACGTATTTCACATTTTGTGAAAATGAAGAGTAAATTTTAAATTTCAATAGCAGCTACCTAAATCTTAATTTACCCTGTATAGCCTGATATTTAGTTACAATAACCATTGTATGTTAAACTAAATTAAAATTTGACTTGAAAATTTGTACAGGGTGAGACAAAATTAATATGGAACATCGGTCACTTTTAAGAGGAAGCTACTCCTTTATTTTAAATGGAACATCCAGTATATTATTCTAATGTTCAATGGAGAACTTATATATCATCAAAAATTATTCAGGTTAACTACCTCTCAGGCAAAGATTCTCCTAGTTATTTTAATTTTTATGATTTTGCGTCAGTAGATTTTTATTATTTGAAAAAATCCAGGGGGGGGGGGTGGTTGTGATAACCTTTTGCTTTAATTTAGCAAAAAATAAAAAATGTGGAGTAAAATACTCAACGGTAATAAAAAGATGCACTTTTAAAACATATTTTAATTATTGCAGAATTCTCTCTGATATAGGATAAGTTTGCATTTTCGGAAAATTTCTGGATTTTTTTTGTTTTAACTGAGACAAAATGATAACTAGTTGTTAAAGTTGGACTAATTAGACAGCTACGTTGTGAAGTAAGGTCAGACCATATCACAGCTACCTAGATTTTATCAAATAATAAAGATCTACTGATACTAAATCATAAAAATGAAAATATCTAGGAAAATCTTTGTTTGAGTGTAAAGGAGTAACTTGCTTTTAAAGGTGATCAATGTTAAACATTAATTTTGCCACGTCCTGTATAACTTTTGGGACAGGTTTTAATTCGATTTAAAGTACAATAGTTATTTTAACTCCATATTATGCTATACCGGATAAATTATAATTAAGGTAACTTTTCTTGAAATTTCAAACTTGTTCTTCATTTTTAGAAAATGTTAAGTAAGTCAAAAACCTTACATTTCAGTCATATACTTCCCTAATAAAACTCACCTTTATTTTTCTCATAGAATCCAAAAATGAATTAATATACAGGGTTGTTCACCACATACGACACGGAGTATTGTAGCTAAACGATGCGATTTTTACAAATTGTAAGTTTGGGGTTCGTTGAAGGACTATTAGAGCTACAATTTAAAAATATTTTTACAATATACAGAGTGTCCCAAATAAATAAAAAATATCAAAGTTGTATTTTTTTAAATGGAACACCCTGTATATTATTACATTTTTAGTTTCTACGATTAAAATAAAGGTAAATTTGATTAAGGTTTATTATACTTAAACCTTACCGTTTTTGAAACATTTTCAATTTTGTGAAATTGCAGTAAAAATTTTAAGGCTTCATTTCTCCAAGGGTATCAATGTTTTTAATACTAAATATTAAATGAAGTTTATTTATTGATTAGTTATTATGTTGCATTAATAAAAGTAATACTACCTTATACAGAGTGTCTACAAATTTATTTTAAATAATTATTAGCTTCAAACGGCAACAACTTCTTTAATTTAAATAGAATGCCCTGTATATTTTAGGAGAATCAGATGCACAATTAATTGTCTATCAAATTATATTATACCATTTTTACCTATCCCTTCAAGTTTTCGTAGAAAATGCATTTTCTTATAATTTAGACCTCATTTATCAATATATCCATGGAATATTGACATTTTAGATTGTTTTAAAGCAACAAATGTACAAAATGTACAGATAGACTAGTAATATTATCGTTTTTAGCAAAGCGATAATATTACTAGCCCATTTGTATGCAAAAAGAAAACTATTTAAATCTTTTTATAAAGAGTATACCATTAATTAAATATAACACCATTATTTACGCCCATATACTACTAATTAATGACATACTTAATTGTGTTCGTTAATAAATTATTATTAATAAATGTGGATTTTGAGTCAGAAATCAATATAATAATAAGTTATCAAATTAAAGTCTTTGTTGTTATAAATAAGCATTTATTAAAAAAATGAAATATCAATTTTAAGGTGTTACTTTTTATCACACTGTCTAATGCCCATACAAAATTCAGTTTTTTAGTATTTGGAGCAATTATTATTAATCAACGCAAACAGTCAGTTAATGTAGTTTGAATACTGGAATCATATTAATTGATCCTCTTTAACAAATATTTAAACATTTTTTTTTATTTTTTAATGAAATAAACGAATTATATCGACAATATTAGTATCTGTAAAAAATGGTATAATATAATTTGATAGACAATTAAATTGTGCATCTGATTCTCGTAAAATATATAGGGTGTTCCATTTAAATTAAACAAGTTATTGCCGTTTGAAGCTAATAATTATTTAAAATAAATTTTTAGACACTCTGTATAAGGTAGTATTATTTTTATTATTGCAACACAATAACTGATCAGTAAATAAACTTCAGTAAATATTTAGTATTAAAAAGTTTGATACCCTTGGAGAAATGAAGCCTTAACATTTTTACTGCAATTTCACAAAATTGAAAATATTTCAAAAACGGTAAGGTTTAAGTATAATAAATCTTAATCAAATTTACCTTTATTTTAATCGTAGAAACTAAAAATGTAATAATATACAGGGTGTTCCATTTAATAAAATACAACTTTGATATTTTTTACTTATTTGGGACACTCTGTATCTTGTAAAATTATTTTTAAATTGTACCTCTAATAGTCCTTCATCGAACCCAAAACTTACAATTTGTAAAAATCTCATCGTTTAGCTACAATACCCCGTGTCGTTACAAAAAAAAACACAACTTTGATGTGTAATTTTTTTTAGGGACATCCTGTAGAACTCTCTAAATTTTTAAAAAGTGCTCTGAATTAATCTACATATGCTCACAAAATTTCATTTCAATACAAACTGTCGATCGCCTTGCAGACCCCGCGTCCCTCGTATGAGAGGCGCCACCCTGTATATTTATTAAAATAACTTTTAAAAATACTGTACAAAACAGTTCTATGTCCGGGTACATTCGGACGTATACCCTATTATACACTATTTTTATATAAAAGCATTATATTTCTGAAATTCTCTAGTACAAATGTATCTACCCCTAAAATACAGGCAACCAGTTATACCAAACTGTATAGACCGCTGCCTTAATATCTCACCGCTCGCTTCCGACGTTAAATAACTACATATACGACTGGGTACGACCGTTCTAACGGAAGGTCTGCTACCTTTGGGATGAAACCCAAACTTGAGAGTTGAATTCAAAGAAGCTACGAAATAGTATGCACGATGAAACAGGCGCAAGCCACAAACGCACTCAAAGGTGACTTTGGCCTTCTTTTTTTTATTAATTTATCTGAAAAATTAAGAAATAGAATATTTATTTTTATTTAAAAAAATTGAAGAAAGAAACATAATTTCACTTCTAAGGTGATTAGCATCCAAGCGGCATCGGCAGACTAAAGTTATAAATAAGCACTAAGGAGGAAATAATAAATATTTACGATACGCGTGTGAAAGTTGCTATAACCACACAAGTATCTTGGTAGAGTTAACTCGCGTGTATTGTACAGGGTGTCTCTAAGAATAGCTCTCGGCTGTATCTCGGAAAGTATTAGTTGTAGAGCTTGCGGAAAAAAATATTTATAACTAATGAGACCATGAGAAACTGCTGAAAATTATTTTCAAGTTTTTAGGACGGCCGCTAGAGGGCGTAACTGCTATGAAAATTAACAAAATGGAATTTTTAAGAAATTTTGCCTAGATACGATGTACTATAAATAATAGAACAAATTATGGATCTTTTTTGTTAGAACCGTTTTGCCCTATCTGCTAAAATAAAGTGGTGGGGGAAGGTTAGATCTGTTTTTATTTGAATATTAATAACTTCGGACTGGATGATCGGAATCCAACAAGCGCGGGCTCGTTTAAAAGAGCGTTTCTTACTCTATATTATACCATATAAACAGTAATAATAAGCTTTTGAACGTAGACGCTAGGGGGCGTTGTCTTGTAATTTAAAAAACATTGCGCGTTTTTTCAAAAAAATTAAATGCGATAGTATATATAATTTTAGCTGATATTAAAGAGGAACAAAAGCTTAACAAGTCAGCGAAAACCGCATCTTGATATCTTTTTTCAAACCAAAGTTATTAACAAAATTATAATGAATACCAAAAAATAAGCCCTTAATTACCTTATTTTTCCAACACGGTATCACTAGCCTTCTTTATTTTGGTAGATAGGGGAAAATGGCTCTAACAAAAAATATTCAAAAGTTACTGAAGATTATGAAGCTATTACTTAAGGTTGATTTTCATGCATCCGTTGTCCGACGATACGATGATACGATATTAATTTTATTGGTTGTATTTAAAGGCTTCGATTGGTTAACCATTTCTAACCAATCGAATGGTTAGTTAAGAGCTTCTTAACTCACTGACGTAGATAAATTGATTTTAATTAACTATACCTTCAGCCATTGAGTGTTCGTAACATAGTCCACAAGCTCCGTCTCCAGATATAACCAACTGAACCGTTTTATCAAACCATCTGTTACAGGAATTGAACTTTGTGCCACCCCCGTGGATCATTTGGTGGGCCAAGTTGCTTTCATCTCTTGTTCCAGCTGAAAAACCTAGAAAAAACAGGTTTGGATAGCTTTCCAACATAACATTTATTATTATTTTAATAAAACACAGATATAGAATTACTGTTGCTTAAAGAACCAATACTATATATGAAATTTATATTTTTATGGTACCTTTTCCACCTTTTTGTAGTCTACAGTTAAAACTATTCGGTAGTGCTTCATCTAAACAAACTACCAGTAAAGATTTGATGATAAGATCCAGATTTCTTCGATTTTTGTCATCTTTCATTAGATCTTCGCGTGCTTCAGCCCACAAAGTTCTTTTCCATCCTAAAATATACAGTTGTGAATAACCATTAACCTTCAAAACAATACTATAGTACCTGTAAGTACTCCTACTGGAGGTGCATTCGATTGGCAAGGAGCATCATCCAAAATATACAATAATTGACCACATATCTCATCTTCTGTTAGTCTTCCACGATCACCTGCTTGTACCGGGACGCAGTACTGCTGATTTCTGCAGATAACAATCACGTGTTCGCTTGCTTGATCTAAAGAAAGTTGAAAATTACCAGAATTTATATATAAGACAGTAACATGAGTATATATTATTATTTATTTTCTTACCACCATTTTTCTGCGTCTTAGCTATATACTGACTATCCCTGACCCTTCCAGGGACCCTACAACATCCCAAAATCCGGTAGTACTGCGCCATGCACAAGGGTTGTCCAGGTTCCCTGGACGTAGCTCTCTCAACGGGCAGTCCTTTCCTGTTCAGTATGTCCTTGTGATTCAGAGCTGCGTCTATGAGCCTGGCTGTAAATCTGGCAACGTCCAGGATAGTGGTGAACTTCCTAGGCGGGAAAACCATGCCAGGGTTCGAATTGACAGGTATGGAGTCGCGGTAGTTCAAGTACATGTCGTTTAGCCAGTAGTCGTAGGCCTAAAAGGAAGAAATGAATTGAGACAAAGAAGGGGCAACGCTCAAGCTGTAAGTGTTTAAAAAAATTGTGCCAATTCTCATGGGGAGATTCCTCAATCATATCTATCAAAAATAGTAGATAATGTAGAACTTTAACCGCAAAGGTAGATTAAATAATAATTTAACAGCCAGGATAGGTTATAAACTTTATTTCTTCATAGAATAGGGTTCATAGTTTCATAGTTGTCGATTTTGGAAAGAAATCAGTACATGTATATTATTTCGTATATTTTTCATGTTATTGATTTTATGGAAAGCACTGTTCATTAAAATGTTGTATTCTATGTTATAGGGCTTGTTTCTCTCTACAAATTCCTGTCTCACAATGTACCGTTTGTGTCCGGGAAAGGTTCATAGTTTCATAGTTGTCGATTTTCGAAAGAAATCAGTACATGTATATTATTTCCTATATTTTTCATTTTGTTGATTTTATGAAAAGCACTGTTCATTAAAATGTTGTATCCTATGTTATAGGGTTTGTTTCTCTCTACAATTTCCTGTCTCACAATGTACCGTTTGTGTCCGGGAAGGGTTCATAGTTGTCGATTTTCGAAAGAAATCAGTACATGTATATTATTTCGTATATTTTTCATTTTATTGATTTTATGGAAAGCACTGTTCATTAAAATGTTGTTATACGGCTTGTTTCTCTCTACAATTTCCTGTCTCACAACGTAGGTAACTCGTTATGGAAAAAAATATTGTTTTATAGACGACGATAAAATTGCATTACCGTCTTGTATAAAAAATAACTAATTTTGTTCACAAGTGATAATCTAAGGTATTATAAACATAAACATAAAGTCTCTAGGACCCTGAATGACGTCAATATAGACATCCAATTAGCAACGAAGTGTGACAGAAGGGTGAATTTTGGATCTTGTTAGGTTGTTTGATCACTGGATCGAAAAGCAAACGTTGCCAATGTTTCCCCTTTAGAGCCAGATCGGCAGAATAAGCTTTTCTAGCCATTCATCCAGCTACAAACAACTCTGTTTGAAGGTAGATTCAAGCAAAAAGGGTTAAGTTCCGCGAAAACAGTGAAAATTAAATTGGATTCATCGAGAAATGACAGAAGAGTTGTAAAAACCAATCAGAATTTTAATTCTAAAGTAAATTTCTGCGTTATTGAATTATTTATCTAGAAATTAGAAAGGGTTGTCATAGTAGATTGTAGGAAGCTGAATGAAATTGAGAATTTTAATTGAAACGGTATTTGCATAAACTAGAAATAAATTTTATTTTTTTATGAAATGTTGGAAACATAGAAAAAGCCTAACGTATAGGAAATATAATTTGATATTCATAAAATCATAGGTTGACAACTTAAGGTGTGTTGCCTGTTCAGTTTCAATTTAAAAGTAGACGCAGTTTTTTTTTAAATTAATTAAAATGGGCATATGAATTCAGCACAGTCAGGTCTTTAAAAAACCTATTTACAATTTTGCTGTCAAATTAATAGGGGAGCCAATATTTGGACACCGATTTCTTTCGAAAATCGACAACTATGAAACTATGAACTTTTCCCGGACACAAACGGTACATTGTGAGACAGGAAATTGTAGAGAGAAACAAGCCCTATAACATAGGATACATTTTAATGAACATTGCTTTCCATAAAATTAATAAAATGAAAAATATACGAAATAATATACATGTACTGATTTCTTTCGAAAATCGACAACTATGAAACTATGAACCCTTCCCGGACACAAACGGTACATTGTGAGACAGGAATTTGTAGAGAGAAACAAGCCCTATAACATAGAATACATTTTAATGAACAGTGCTTTCCATAAAATCAATAAAATGAAAAATATACGAAATAATATACATGTACCGATTTCTTTCGAAAATCGACAACTATGAAAATAAGAACCCTTCCCGGACACAAACGGTACATTGTGACACAGGAAATTGTAGAGAGAAACAAGCCCTAACATAGGATACAACATTTTAATGAACAGTGCTTTCCATAAAATCAATAAAATGAAAAATATACGAAATAATATACATGTACTGATTTCTTTCGAAAATCGACAACTATGAAACAATGATCCCTTCCCCGACACAAACGGTACATTGTGAGACAGGAAATTGTAGAGAGAAACAAGCCCTATAACGTATAGGATACAACATTTTAATGAACAGTGTTTTCCATAAAATCAATAAAATGAAAAATATACGAAATAATATACATGTACTGATTTCTTTCGAAAATCAACAACTATGAAATTATGAACCCTTCCCGGACACAAACGGTACATTGTGAGACAAGAAATTGAAGAGAGAAACAAGCCCTATAACATAGAATACAACATTTTCATGAACAGTGCTTTCCATAAAATTTCTTGAGGGATATTCAAGAAACTTATAATTACTAGTATATATAGACAAACAGAAAATATGATCAAAACAAAATGTCACAAAAACCACCAGTATACAGAAGAACTGCGCTATTTTTTTTCTTTAAGGTATTTTGAGTGTTTTCATATTGGCTTTCAATTTATTTTGAGGTGTTTTTTTTTTAATTTCAATAAGTATTTTACCCAATTGTCCATCTTCTCCCTCCTATCCAACAGGTAGAGCTGTAGTTTCCTCCCCAAGCCACCTTCCCCACTGAATTTTTCCACCAAATTCGTCAATTTTTCGTGTTCCTCGTCTTTTAGTAGTGGTTTCATCGTTTTCAAGTACTTTTCCATGGTGGTTTCTATAGGTGGTACGGGTAGTTTGGGTAGACCTACATACTGCAAAGAAAAAACAAAAAATAGTTTATTTATATCATCATATATTTTGTGTTCTTGTTTATACCTACTATACTTTTAGGGACGCAAAGAGCTAAAGACCGAGAAAAATCAAAGATTTTCCTTGATTTACTAAGAACAATCTTATATTTTAGATAAAAAACACTTTTCTGTAATCTTAGATAGATTCCTAATTATACCTATTTATTTTTAAACATTTTTTAAAATCTTCTGGTAATCGGTTTCTAAGGCATTATTTATGTATTGTTTAATGACAATTTTTGGACGCAATTTGGACCGTAGATGCTATTAAAAATTGTCAGTCATTTATTAGTGTGAAGATACCGAATACAAAAACTCATTTTCCAAGAGTGTTTACGATTACTGAGGGACCAATAGAGGTATCAATTTCTTACATGTATTTCGTAAGTACGCAAAACTTCGACTACTCAATGTGACGCATTGTATAAAACACTTTTTATACAATATTTCGTGTACTTGTTATTATTCACACGTTACCCAGACTATTTTATTTACCTTTGTACCCTTACATAGTTATCCTGTTTGAACCTCGCACCCAAGCTAACGAAAATAAAACATAATTCGGCGGTCAAACAATGCTAATTGGCATCCGCCGTGCTAACCCAGCCGTTTGCGAAAGGGCTTTAATTGGTACAGCGCCCCCTCTTTTCCTAGGGCCCTTTTTATCCATTCCCTGTAACCAGTTTAAGGGAGGAAATCAACGCGCGCCAGTGGTTAAAAAGCGTTTTTTTATCTTTTACTTTTCTCTTGCTTTCGAAAAAAATTAAAAAACGGGCAGAATTAAAGAGGCAGTAGACAGAAAAAACTACAGTTTGGTGATCAAATAATAGGTAAGTAGGTTTGGTTTGGTTTGGTTAGTTATACTACCAGGTTTTTTTTTGATGAAAATTATACCGATTTTAAAATTTTAAGCATGATCAAAAATCTCTCGTACACAAGTGTTCAGAAAATCGATTTTACCAGAAAACCGAAGAATTTAATATCTAATAGTTTTATATTTTCGAAAAGTACATAAAATTTCCAAACAAACTGTGAAATTTTCAATATTTTATAACTATATTCACTATTCTTTTATAAGCATCAAAATCGGTCAAAAAAACCCACCAAAAATGGAAAATTTTTTGACTTTTTTTCATAGATATAGTGATGAAAATTGGTGATTTTAATAAAACTAATGTTATTTACTAATTAAAAGGTGTAAAATAAGAAAATACAGGTCATTGTGGTTTTAGGCTAAGGTTTTAGGAGTATGATACGAGATATAGGAAAAGTTTTAACTAGCATCAAAAGTCTCTCTCAAACAAGGGTCCAAAAAATTGATTTTACCATGAAACCAAAGTAATCAAGCTCTAATAGTTATATGTTTTCAAAAAACACATAAAATTTCCTACAAACTGTGAAATTTTCAAAATTTTATAACCATGTTTACTATGCTTTTATGCGCATCAAAATCATTTAAAAAACACCAAAAATGGACAATTTTTTTACTTTTTTTCTTACATGTCATAAAAGTCATAAAAATTGGTCATTTTAATAAAACTAATGTTATGTTGATAAAACCGGTGAGTGTCTCACTTGAATAAAACATATACATATAGTACAATTCTTTTAAAAGTTTCTCAATATGGCTGACCTAGTTACGAAAATTGGTAATTTTTTTAATGAAAAATAAGTTGGCGTTAGCGAATTCAGAAATTGTTTTACTCTTTGGTTAACAATAATATTTTTCAGGATTGTCAAGTTGACGTTAAAGTTAGGTTTTTAGATGGTTGTCATAAATAAAAACATAGATTATTGAAATTATTTAATAAGAATAAAGGTATTTTACCGCAGATCCGAAGAGATTTTACTTAAAGGTATTTTATAAACTTTCTCAGTGAGAATATTAACTCCCCTATTTCTTATATTTCAGTTAAGGGGACGTAAGAACTATAGGAAGTAAATTTTTGTTTTCATGTTTTGACGATATCTGAGAGTTCCTAGAACTATCAAGATTATTGAATAATTATAGTTGTTTAATAAGTGAAATTAATAGAAGACTTGGAAATAGGATGATGCTTTTCATGTTGTAGTTGATAAATCACCCCATTTCTCTTAATTTTTTTTTTCAGTACAGTTAATCACAAATTAAATTGATGTGTGCAAAAACAGCTATATATTTTCAAACATCTTATTTAAATAGTTCTTTTATATACTATTAAACTGTATCAACTACAAAGTATTTAGCAAAAAATTATAAGGTAATAAATTTTGTATATATAATTTATGAAAATTTATAATATATAAAGATTAGAACACAATCCTCTGAAGGAAAAAGAAATACTCAAAAACTCATTAAATATACTTTATTAAAAATAACAACATACCAAAACATCCATGCAAACTGTAATAATCAGAACATTATCCACATTATACCTTTATTAAATTTGTGTCCACACTCCTGCCAGGAAATCCAGAAATGTTTGTTTAAATATTAACTTATTTTAAATTGCCAGAAACACATCAGAATATATCACAACCACAACTATAGGTTAATCTGTACTAAATTTTATACCGAGTAAGTGATGCGTTAACTAACAAGTATAGGATAAAAAACAATTATTAATATAGAGTGTACTATACAATGTCCTGCTTATTTATGAAATGACTTTCCCTTCAAATGTGAGGAATACCAGTAAAATAAAACATAATTTTTGGTTTAGTTTGGTGTTTGATATTCTAACTACATCTATTACAAACCTTAAGTGCTTTTAGTGAGTAATTGTATTTTTTATTATTCCTTGTGTATCCTGTAAAGTAAAAAAATATTTCAAGAAATATAAAAACAATGCAATAGATATCAAACAGATTCATAAAAACTACTTACAATTATTGTACATAATTATATATTTCAAGTGTTATTTGATGTTTGGTCCCATTACCAACATTACCTTATTTAGGTCTTCTCTACCAACTCAACTTTTAAACCTGTTTTAAACCTTCTTTATATTTTAAAACTGATTTACAACAATCTGTAATGCCCGCGCTGTTTCCTGAAATATAAGTTTTAATCTATTTATTATCATATAGTAGATATTACAAACCTGAAAATTACTGATACGAGGAAACTTCTCAAAATAATTATAATAATACCTTTTACAAACATCTGGACTAATTTATTTTCACGAATTTATGAACGAGCCAATGTTTTCTAATACGTTTTTAAGCGATTTACACATTTTGAATATCTTCCAGCCTATTCGTCAACTCTTGATCGGTGAAAAGATTATTTATAACTATATAATTAGTACTGCAGGTTGCAGGTTAAATAAAAGAACAAAATCAAGTAGAATTTGTGAATAAAAACTAAAAAAATAATGAAAATATTTAGAAAAAGGAACCGTAAACGTCAATGTCAGCCAAGTGTCAGAGTTCAATTGGATTTACCACAGATTATCAATTTGGACGATTTGAAGTACAGTCGATTCCAGTTTAGAGATTTTCGTTTTTTAAGCCTCCCATACTGAAGTCCGCCATATTGGGAAGTTTTAAATGAATACAAGTATATACTGTCAAAATACCATTTTACTGCCAAGCGACTGCGAAAAAAACTGCCTATATGTCAGCGACTACATCAAGGAAATATACATGTAATTCTAACAATCCCTTTGATAAAACTGAAGTTATTCACTAATTAAAAGGTGTAGAATAAGAAAATATGGGCCATTGTGCCCTTAGGAGTACGGTAGGTACATAATACAGGCAAAATTCTAAGCTTCATCAAACATTACTCATTTTAGAGAAATTATGACAGAGCTGTTATAACCGCTGGCTTTACAGTGCTGCGCCATTTGAAGCAAGTTCAAATCCCCCATCCATGCATTTATGGATGAATCCGAAACTAAATTACAGATATCTTTAGGCTATACGTGTGTCGTTATGGCTTTATTTCCCATTGATAATATGCAAAACGCCTAGACATCGTTCCGCAATATGCCCTTCAAAAGGATTTCAGTAAAATGCCAATTTCATACATTGTCCTTTAACCATTTCTTTAATCTTTTTCTATACCTACATAACCCCTTAATGCGACGCTATATTTTATGGGATTGGGAATATAAAAACTTGCTCTTCTTTCTTTATTTCAAACATCATATTGTACTGAGCGTATTGATTGCACTCTTCTTACTCACGAAAATCGCCACCCAAAGTCGAACCTTGAAGACCTTGTACGAGCCCTAACAAGGTCATATTTTGGAATTATGCGAGGAGCCCTATGTTGGGACAAGGTCATATTTTGGAATTATTGCCCTGGTTTTTCAAAATGACTGAAAAATATATGTTTAATTTTTTAAATATAAACATAGCCATATATCCTAAACAACTTGACAATATTTTTATGAATTTGTAAATCAAACTATATCTACTGTAGCGGATATTATTCATAAAAGGACAAATTTGCTGACAACTAAATGTTGGGACAAGTATTTTTAAATAATTAATATCATCATAGGCGGCTTTGCTATAAACGTCACAAATGTCGCTAACAGTTTACTTCAGCATTGACAGCTTGTAAGCACAAAACATCTCCCTTTAGAACTTCGTCTATCATGTTAAGAAATGAAAGTAAATAATAAAGCGCCTCTCGTGTTTGTTCGCACTCAAAAAATTTCATTTAAAGCCTGTATATATTTTTAATATATTTTTTAAATTTACATTTTTTTAATTGTAAAGTAATATATTACATTTAAATAGAATATATTACATAACAATTATGTCAATTACAGGATTACAAGCTTGTTTTCTAACATTTTTTAAATAAAACGAATTATAAAATTTCAATATATGTATATTTGTCGTGGAAAAAAGTAAAATATGTATATGGAAAAAAGTAAAATATAAAATGGACAAACGCTTACTTACATTGCAATAAAACTTCCACTTTTTATGCAATCCAAACGCAATATTTCTATTTCACAAAT